CCCCTGCCTTTTTGTGTTCCCTCCCCAAAGCGAAGTATAGCATGCTGTGGGCTCACCCAAATTACAGTGGGGAAAGACTAACAGAGGGCGGCAGGAACGGGGGGGGGGAACACCCCGCCTCTTCACACCAGGGGGAAGAAGTTCTGGCGAGGAGAGTGGCTGGGTACCCGGTCTAGAGACAGGTCGGTTTTTTCCGGGACCCAAAACGCAGCCGAGGGGGGCTAGTAGGGGAAGGGGGAGACCCAAAATTGTTTTGAGGGAATGAGGCGATCGCATTTGGCAGCCTCGTCGTCTTTCGGCTATTTTTTTGCTCATCAGGAGAAGGGGTTCCAGTTGGGGCAGCGAGCAAAACAGTCGGGGGGGTTGGGCCCGGGAGGCAGCGGGGTCGCGGCAATGTCAGTGGAGGCAAAGGGCCCACAGTAGAGCACCAGCTCCACTGCCAACCCCCCAAGGGCCCAAAGTAGTGGTCCCGGGTGGGTGCGGGGGGGGGAATTTAGCAGCCACCAGTGGGATTTAAGGGGGGGCAAAGTTTCCTACTCGGGGGGGTGTGGGCAATTTTTCGTCAAGCCGCCCGGGGGAAGAAAACATACCCGGTAGTCACTATGTGGCCAGAAAGTCAAGCGTGGCCGGGGGGCCCATGTCTCCATCGCCCCACTCTGCCATGGGGGCCATTTTCAGGTCTCTTCCCCCACTGCGGGGGGTTCTATTTTGTCATAGGGGGCGGGGAAGATTAGGGGCCTCCCATTGCGCGGCCGGGGCCCGTAATCTTGGGCCATTTTCCCCTTTTACCGCTCCCCCTTTTTTTGTTTTTTTGTTTTGCCGGGCCCGGGAAATCTGCCCAGGGGTTTTCCCGAACGGCCTCCCTTTGGGCTGCTGTCTCCATCACCAAAACTCTGCCATGTCCCACTTTAAGGTCTCCTCACACTGCTGGGGGTTTCCCAATTTTGTCATAGGGTTTGGCAGTTTAGGGGCCCCCCTTTGCTGCTGCCAGGCCCCGAAAAAATCGGTCAGGGGCCCCCTGTACCGCCTCCTCATGCTGCTGCCAGGCCCCCAGAGTGGTCATGGGGTCCCGTAGGGCCCTCCCATTGGGGCTGTCCATCGCCACACTCTCCCAGGGTGCCACTTTCGGTTCCTCACACGGGCTGGGGGGTTTCCATTTTGTCATAGGGTTTGGGCGTTTTGGGGCCTCCCATTTTCTCCCAGGCCCATAATCGCCATGGGCCCCCGTCCCCCCGCCTCCTATGCTGCTGCCAGGGGCCAGAGTGTTTGTCATGGGTCCTGTCCGGCCTTCATTGTGCTGTTCTCCATCGCAACACTTGCCATGTGCACTTTCAGGTCTCCTCACACTGCGGGTGGGTTTTCCATTTTGTCATAGGGTGTGGCAGATTACGGCCTCCCATTGCTGCTTCGCCAGGCACCGTAATCTGCCATGGGCCCCCGTACCGAACTCCTCATGCTGCTGCCAGGTCCAGTAGTGTCTCATGGGTCCCTGTACGGCCCTCCCTTGTGCTGTCTCCATCGCCACATCTCTGCCATGTGTGCCACTTTCAGGTCTCCTACACACTGCTGGTGGGTTCCTTTTATTGTCATAGGGTGCTTGGGCAGATTACGGGCCTCCATTGCTTGCTGCCCAGGCCGTAATCTGCCATGGGCCCCTCGTACCGCCTCCTCATGCTGCTGCCAGGTCCAGAGTGTCTCATGGGTCCCTGTACGGCTCCCCATTGCTGCTGTCTCCATCGCCACACTCTTGCCATGTGCCACTTTCAGGTCTCCTCACACTGCTGGTGGGTTCATTTTGTCATAGGGTGCTGGCAGATTACGGGTCCTCCCATTGCTGCTGCCAGGCCCGTAATCTGTCATGGGCCCCTGTACCGCCTCCTCATGCTGCTGCCAGGCCCGTTAATCTGTCATGGGTCCCTGTACTCGGCCTCCCATTGCTGCCTGTCTCCATCGCACACAATCTGCCATGTGCCACTTTCAGGTCTCCTCTACACTGCTGGTTGGGTTCCATTTTTTCATAGGGGTGCTGGCAGGGCCTCCTCCCGCATTTTTTTATTTTTTACGGGCTGCTCACCATTGCTGCTGCCAGGCCCGTAATCTGCCATGGGCCCCTGTACCGCCTCCTCATGCTGCTGCCAGGTCTCAGAGTGTGTCATGGGTCCTGTACGGCCTCCCATTGCTGCTTGTAAGATCTCCATCGCCCACACTCTGCCATGTGCCACTTTCAGGGTCTCGCTCACACTGCTGGTGGGTTTCATTTTGTCAATAGGGTGCTGGCAGTTACGGGCCTCCCATTGCTGCTGCCAGGCCAGTAATCTGCCATGGGCCCCCGTACCGAATCCTCATGCTGCTGCCAGGCCCGTTTAAATCTGTCATGGGCCCCTGTACCGCCTCCCTCATGCTGCTGCCAGGTCCAGAGTGTGTCATGGGTCCTGTACGGCCTCCCATTGTGCTGTCTCCATCGCACACTCTGCCATGTGCCACATTTCAGGTCTCTCACACTGCTGGTGGGTTCCATTTTGTATAGTCATAGGGTGGGCTGTATGGCCTCCCATTGCTGCTGCTTCCACCGCCACACTGTGGCTCCACACTCTGGTTTTGGCCCCGTGACTGCCCAAATTCGACTCGAATCGAATTTATTCCGCGAATTCGCCAAATCAGCCGAATCGAATTTTTGAATACTTCGCTCATCTCTAAATGCAGCCAATGGCAGTGGAGGAGGTGTGAAGCGGGAACTCATATATACATATAGTATCTGCCGGAGATAAAAGACGTCACAGTGACGATGGAGGAAGAGGACGGACATGATGGGGATTCCATAATTGTCTTTACTTTTTCACAAATTGAATCTTTTTGACTTCATGTGACACCACTTCCTGCCTGCGTGTGACACCACTTCCTGTCTGTGTGTAACACCACTTCCCGCCTACGTGTGACACTGTTTCCTTCCTGTGTGATACCACTTCCTGCCTGCGTGTGACACCACTTCCTGCCTGCGTGTGACACCACTTCCTGCCTGCTTGTTACACCACTTCCTTCCTGTGTGACACCACTTCCTGCCTGCGTGTGACACTTTCCTTCCTGCGTGACACCACTTCCTGCCTGCGCGTGACACCACTTCCTGCCTGCCTGCCTGTGACACCACTTCCTGCCTGCGCGTGAAACTTTCCTTCCTGTGTGACACTACTTCCTGCCTGCTTGTTACACCACTTCCTTCCTGTGTGACAGCACTTCCTGCCTGCGTGTGACACTGTTTCCTTCTTGCGTTACACCACTTCCTGCCTGCGTGTGACACTTTCCTTCCTGCGTGACACCACTTCCTGCCTGTGTGTGACACCACTTACTGCCTGTGTGTGACACCACTTCCTGCCTGCGTGTGACACTGTTTCCTTCCTGCGTGACACCACTTCCTGCCTGCATGTGACACCACTTCCTGCCTGCGTGTGACACCACTTCCTGTCTTCCCCTTAGTAAAGGAGAGAGAAATAGTTATTGGATAGTGTGAGTACTGTGGCCTCCAATAAAATGTATCTCCAATTCTGCTGAGAGTAAACCGATCCCCTCCTTGTACTTGCCATACATTGTAAATAGGCAGAGGCAGAGAATCTATATGACTGCTTTAGGGTGGGGGGGGGGGGTCAGGGAGTCTATATATGACTGCTTTAGGGTGGGGACTCTGTATATGACTGATTTGGGGGAGTGGGGGGGCGGGGACTCTGTATATGACTGCTTTGGGTTGGGGGGTCAGGGACTCTGTATATGACTGCTTTGGGTTGGGGGGGGGGGGGCAGGGACTCTGTATATGATTGCTTTGGGGTAAGGGGCAGGGACTCTGTATATAACTGCTGTGAGGTGGGGTGGGGTCAGGGACTCTGTATATGTCTGCTTTGGGGTGGGGGAGGGGACATTAGAGTGTAAGCTCCTCTGTACAGAGACTGATGGGACTGGCTTAGTGATCTCTGTACAGCACTGCGGTATATGTCAGAGCTTTATAAATGTATAATAATAGTGTGTGATTGGTGAGGTCTGAGGTGAGTCTCTGCTGATCCCGCCTTGTGATTGCTTTCTGTGAAGAGAGTGCAGCCAATCACAGTGCACAGATCTAAGGAGAGTGTCTGTGGAGAGCAGATTCTGCCCAGTGACTGTGATCCTGCCCTGTGATTGTTTGGTGTGGAGGAAGTGCAGCCAATGGCAGTGGAAATTTCTGAGGTGATTCTCTGTGGAGAATAGAATCCGCCTGGTTACTGTGATCCTGCCCTGTGATTGGTTCCTGTGGAGGTAGTGCAGCCAATGGCAGTGGAAATTTCTGAGGTGATTCTCTGTGAAGAGTAGAATCCGCCTGGTGACTGTGATCCTGCCCTGTGATTGGTTTCTGTGGAGGGAGTGCAGCCAATGACAGTGGAAATTTCTGAGGTGATTCTCTGTGAAGAGTAGAATCTGCCTGGTGACTGTGATCCCGCCCTGTGATTGGTTCCTGTGGAGGTAGTGCAGCCAATGGCAGTGGAGGAGGTGTGAAGCGGGAACTCTGAGGTGAGGGCTGTGAGGTATCCGGCTCTCCTCGGCTCTCCTATTCATGAATTCTCCATTTTGTTTTACATCGGTGACAGAAGTGACGGTGGAATGGGGTCTGTTTTCTGTCACAGGAAATGAGGTAAAGGGAAAATATTAACAGAGTCACATCTTTACATCCCTCTATATGTACATGTAGTATCTGCCTGAGATAAAAGATGTCACAGTGACAATGGAGGAAGAGGACGGACATGATGGGGATTCCAGAATTGTTTTTCACAACTTGAATCTTTTTGACTTCATGTGACAGCACTTCCCGCCTGCGTGTGACACCACTTCCTGCCTGTGTGTGACACCACTTTCCGCCTGTGTGTGACACCACTCCCCGCCTGCATACTGTTTCCTTCCTGCATGACACCACTTCCTGCCTGCGTGTGACACCGTTTCCTGCCTGCGTGTGACAGCTTCCTTCCTGCGTGACACCACTTCTTGCCTGCATGTGACACCACTTCCTACCTGCGTGTGACACCACTTCCTGTCTTCCCCTTAGTAAAGGAGAGAGAAATAGTTATTGGACAGTGTGAGTACTGTGGCCTCCAATAAAATGTATCTCCAATCCTGCTGAGAGTAAACCGATCCCCTCCTTGTACTTGCCATACATTGTAAATAGGCAGAGACTCTATATGACTGCTTTGGGTTGGGGGGGTAGGGACTCTTTATATATGACTGCTTTGGGTTGGGGGGGCAGGGATTCTGTATATGACTGCTTTGGAGTGGGGGACAGGGACTCTGTATATGACTGCTTTGGGTTGGGGGGGGGGCAGGGACTCTGTATATGACTGCTTTGGGTTGGGGGGGGGGGGGGGGGCAGGGACTCTGTATATGACTGCTTTGGGTTGGGGCAGAGTGTCTGCTGTCTCTATGGGGGGGCTTTGTAGTGCTGGGCCCCCTGCTGCTCCAGCCTTTTACACTTTTAACTTTTACACATCTGTCCCTGTGCCTCTCAGGAAGGGAGGGGGTAGGAAATAAGGATTGAGGAATACTTCTAATAAAAAAGGGGAACTCCGCGTCCAACTCTGATGAGCAAGTTTGCTACAGGGGGGGCAAGGACTCTGTATATGACTGCTTTGGGGGAGTGGGGGGGCAAGGACTCTGTATATGACTGCATTGTGGGAGTGGGGGGCAGGGACTCTGTATATGACTGCTTTGGGGTAGGGGGCAGGGACTCTGTATATGACTGCTTTGGGGTTTGGGGTGGGGGGGGCAGGGACTCTCTATATGACTGCGTGGGGGTGGGGGGGGCAGGGACTCTGTATAAGACTGCTTGGGGGACTGGGGTGGCAGGGACTCTGTATACGACTGCTTTGGGGGAGTGTGGGGGGGGCAGGGACTCTGTATATGACTGCTTTGGAGTGGGAGGCAAGGACTCTGAATATGACTGCTTTGGGGGAGTGGGGGGCAGGGGACTCTGTATATGACTGCTTTGGGGGAGTGAGGGGGCAAGGACTCTGTATATGACTGTATTGCGGGAGTGGGGGGGGCAAGGACTCTGTATATGACTGCATTGCGGGAGTGGGGGGGCAGGGACTTTCTATATGACTGCTGTGGGGTGGGAAGGCAGGGACTTTCTATATGACTGCTTTGAGTTTGAGGGGGGGGGGGGCAGGGACTCTGTATATGATTGCTTTGGGGGAGTGGGGGGGCAGGGACTCTGTATATTATTATTATTATTATACAGTATTTATATAGCGCCGAAGGGTGTGCTCAGCGCTGTACATTAGCGAGGGGGACAGAACATGAGAATACAGTACAATACAATACACGAGGGATTCAAGGGTCCTGCTCTTTGGAGCTTACAATCTAGGAGGGAGGGGATAGTGGTACAGGAGGAAGTGGCTGTGGGGGATGGAGTGGAGGAGATTGGTTGTT